GTAATTGTTAATGGCATTTTCATTGGATTGTTTGCAGATACAAAGGGAGTTCCTGTTCCTCAGACGATACTAGGCAATTATCGAGTCACTTAACAAATCGATAGAATTGCACTATTTGCTAATATGAAGCTGTATCAAGCGCTTCATATTAGCAAATAGTGCAATCATACAAATTTTAATTGAGGAATACCCACCTGTTCGTTTATTATAGGTTACAAGTACTAAATCTCTTGTTATCGTTGTTGTGACTAATCTCGTTTGCCTGATATCACAGTAAGCCAACGAAATTAATCGTGGCAAGTAGGCAAGATTGTGCCTTTCGTTGGCAAGAGCCATGGGCACCATACAGGTAGCAGTACGACTTTACTCAATTTCGCCCCCAGTTTTGAAGGAGAGCACTCCAGGGGGACAAGTCCTAGAATCTGCCACTGTTCTTTCCCTACCAACAACCTCTCTAATGGACTTTAGGTTCACCATATACTTTGAGTGCCTCCATGCCGCACAGACACTATACATTTACAAACTTCCATACCTTCTCCAGAATTCAAACCGAGGCCCTTCTCTACGGTAGTCACTATTCAAGTTTGGCGGTGTAGACTTTTATAGATTAGACAAAATAATAATTTGGTACTTTTGGAAATACAATATCTTCCTAACAAGACAACCCAACCCATGGGTCTAGACGACTTTTGATGAGGCCATGTTTAATATGAAAGCTTGCTTGCATTCTGAGGAATTCTAATACTTTTCCGGGTCTTATAATCTACAAGAGTTGGTCGTAATGGGTGATTTCTTCTGCATTAGGAATATTTATGCCTTTACATATACTTTTGTGGGGAGCATATACTTTTTTAAGGTTAAAATTATTTTCCTTCCTGCTTTTGCTTTTAAAATGCATGACAGGAAAAAACATGCATTAAAAGTTATCATCATTAATAATAATTTAGATTTACAAAAAGCTCTAAGTTATAATATTAATTAGGGGGAAATGTGATGTTAATACATCTATTTAAATCATAGTGAGATTATTTTGTTGCTGAAGAAAATGAATTATAGCTGCTCTAAAATGAATATATATTTTATATAGTTAGTTAAGAATTTTAATTGTCCCTTTCTAAAGCTGTTATTTTTCGATAATCTGACGTATGTCTGTTCGATATCTTATCCTTAAAATACAAGCCCACCTACAGTCGAACGGTTAAGTCGCTGAACACTGGTAATCTGGTCCAGGGATCGAATCCCGGCGAAAGGCATGGATGCATGGGCGGTTTCGTGGTTTTTTCTATGTGCAACGTGTATGCGACTCAGTTTCCCGTAGAAACTCTCAATGAAGATATGCCTCCCCTTAGGCAGATAGCCCTTAAGTGCTTTTCGATAATTAAATAAGCCAAATCAAGCCTTAAACTGCATTTTTGCTTACTTTTAAATTCAAAATTTTGGAGTGAAACTGTAACAGTTCTTGGATAAAATTTCAACACTGAGGAATTCTGATGTCAATAAAAGTCGGATCGAATTCTGGATATAATACTATTCCTTCCTTTTTCTTTCTTTACATTATCAGATACTTTTTGCTTTTTAAGCTAGCAATGTATAGTTTTTCCACTCTTTTCAACTTGTTCGAATGTGATAGGTTCTTTGGTCTGAATACTAATTGTTTCGAATAACATTTTAGAAAAGGATAATTAGTTCCGATCTAATGAGTTAGCTTTACATAAGCAAATATCAACTGCAGTTTGGATCTACGTCACCGGATGCTACAAGCTCATAAATTAAATAAATCTTGCCCAACTTTACTATCAATAACCCAACGTTGATATATTTCTGTAAAAGCAACATTATGACTTAAAAATTTAAAATGGCATGCTTCACATATATCCCATAATAGCAATGCCTTGGAAATCAGGCAATGGGAATGCGCATGCTAGCTGCTTCATATTTTCGATTTTTGCTAAATTAAAGTATTAAACAAATTAGTTTACCTCAAAATATCATCTTATCTCTTCAGGTAAGAATTGAAACAAAATCTCTGCCTACATATTCAATTTTATCCAAGGTTTCTATATAAGGCTAAGTATGTGCAGGTTATAGGAGTTGTAAAATTATGAGCTTCTGAAATTTGTAGGTTGTATATATAAGAATTTTAGTTTTATTTCATTTACTTGTGCATAATATTTAACTCCAATGATAACTCTTCATGGATGTCAAAGGCATATATTATTTTTCTTTGCGTTTAGTTAGTTAATTTTAAACTGCTATAAAAAGTTAAATTCAGTTAATTTTATGATAAGTAATTTTATGTTTTTCAGTTTAGTAGAATGGTTAATGGTGTCGGTTGCCATATCTTCGGAACTGAGTTGTAATAGTTTCAAATTCCAAAACAGGGACGTTTGTAAACAGAATATCTTTGAGGCACGAGGGAACCAGAAATGAGATGAAGCCAAAAGCTTCTCCGAGAGGTTACTGGAGATAGAAAACTCTTGAAGTTTTACACTTGAGTGTTCTCCATCAATACTGGGATGGAGCTGGGCAAACTAATATAGTACTGTCAACGATAACGCTCCCAAATGATTTGGCCAGCGGCATTGTTCTCTTCCGTCTTAGCCAGGAACCAGGTATATATTCAGATCAGGAGAATTAGCAGCAAATCAACAACAGCGATGGTAACAGCATGCAGATGGTAAAATATCCATGAAAGTGAATTTAAATGATAAGCCGTGAAATAGTCGTGCCAAAGATGCAGGGAATAATGTACTTACTTGCCAAGAAACGAACAATTCATCTTAAAGTTTACATAATTTAAATTATTTGAGTTCTATAATATCCGTAGTCTGCAATTCTTTGGATATTGTTACATGTGCACGGGTTCGTAATCGATTGAATGCAGACTGAACCGATGAAAACGTGATAAAATTTATTTTATCAGAAAAAAAAAAAAAAAACACTTGAGTTTTGGAACTTTCCACAGAAGTACTCATATATCTCTTCATACAGTGCAGTCAGTAACTGCACTTCAAACTCCTAAGAACGTTAAACACAATGCAATTCAAAGTGCAGCTAAAAGGCAAAGCACTCGCTGATACTCATACTTCGAAGTCACTCAACTAAAAACTATTCAGAGCAGACGCTCTCTCCGGTCGTACACGGATTTCACCTGACCGCCGTGAAATCTCTAGTAAATTCCATTTCGGGAAATTACTGGAAGGCAGATACGGTTAAAATTATATCTAAGGGCCGGGTATGGTTTCAGTTTCATATATAGATTAATTACAGTTATTCAATTACAATACCCATTACAGGTATACAGAACCCAAACCAAAATATCGCCAAATTTGGAGACAAAACTTAGTCGCCAAAGTCATCGCTAACGTAGTGATATCTCGCCAATTTAACGAGATAGCCATTTATTCAATGTTAAATACACTTGCCCCTGTATTCTTACTTTTCCGGCAACTTTTAACCATTACCCTTTTAGGTTTTCATGTTGCATTACACAAAAAATACTACAATTTCACATATAATTTCACTAAAATCATTTACATATGTACAAAATTCGTAACAATACAATATTATGTGCATAACGCAATGCTATGTAATTAAATACCATACGTAATTATTTAGCTTTTGTATAGTTGTACCAAAAAAATGGTTTAATTAAATGTGTGTGTGATTATGGCAAAGCCTCGAGGGCTATATGCCTAAGAGGAGGGATGCCTTAGTGGAGGACTTTCTAAGGGAAACTGGCTCGTATACACGTTACACATGGGGAAAACCACGAAAACGCCCATGCAGCCAGCCCGTTCGCGGGATTCCAACCTCTAACCGAACTACCAGTGTTCAGCGATTTTACCGCTCGGCCGCTGGTGAGCCCGGTTTAATTAAATGAAAGCATTGGTTTGATGAAAATTTGATTTAAAATTAAAGTTCTCCAATTATTTTAGAAGAATATAAAATTATTTATATCGGTAATTAGACGTTCGAATGAAAAGCTCTAAATATATCCAACGTAATTATCGATAAAAATTAATTAAGATTTTTCCAAACGGTGTTTAATAAATCATAAAGTAATCCAAAATTGCGAGTATTTGAGAAAACTTTATTTAAAGAAGTTTCAAATTTTTTACGTTTGATGTTAATATTTATGGAAGAAAAATTTCAGTTCAACCTTCAAGGAATCTTAACAAAAAGTTTCCCTCTCATTGCTTATCTATGCCATTATAAAACTGGATAGTTAAAGTTAGATTTTGTTTTCTATAAAGTTCAACTTATATGAAAAAAAAATCCATTAGAAATCAACGAATCAGTTACGTAACATCTCTTTTAAAAAATGTATTATCTGGTATAATAAATGCAAAATTTAAAATAATTCAAATAAAAAAAATAAAAGAAGGGTTATCAGTCTCCCTCCAGTTATCAAATGATTACGTTTTCTATTTTGTCAGGTAAAAACATAGATAAATTACAAAAATTGGTGCCTTTAAGAATTAGCATTCAATGAAATCTTTCAGTGTTGATTGGAACGTAATGTTTTTATTTAATTTTTGATATAGGAATAAATTTACTGATGTATTACTTAAGAAATCAGTCAAAGCTGTTTTCCTTCAATGTTTACTTTTCTAGAAATTTATACACATGTAGTATAACAATCTGATTAAAATTATTAATAATGATTAATTGTTGAAAATCAATATTGTGCTGAAAAAGAATAATTGGTAATTATATTTTTTTATTCAATAAAGAATTAGTCATTTCATCAGTTTAAATGCAAATTTTTATAAACTCGTGTGCAAAATTAAGAGAATTTATATATTATGTTCAATTTCAGAAAAATGGACAGATTTTAATGAGATTTGGTATGAAGATACATATATAACAGGGAAAAAAAGATGTGCCAAATAGAAATATTATTTTACATATTCATGATTATGATTAAAGCTTATCATGCAGATATGTTCAAAATGCACATTGTGATATCCAACTGAAAAAGAGTCTTATATAGGGTATAGTCTCCTCTGACAGCCATATAGGCCGCTCAGCGTGACGGTGCATTGGATAAGAAACAGTTGAGGAATCCCTGTGACAATCGAACCCACTGCTGCAGCAAAGCAATTTTCAACTTCAGGATTGTTCTCGGAGAAGGATGGCGGGATGAAATTGCTTTCCCAAGAGCGTCCCAGATGTGTTCTATAGGGCTAAGGTCAGGAGATAATTTCATAACTGAAAACTTTATAAAAATATGCAAGTACCTTTTCTTTCTCTTACAAACATATATTATTATATTATTATTATTATATATTATTATTATTATTATTATTATTATTATTATTATTATTATTATTTATTATTATTTTATTATTATTATTTTATTATTTTATTTATTATTATTATTTATTATTACTATTATTATTATTATATTCTATAGAATATAGAAAGATTCTATAGAATATAGAAATTTAGGCGGAAAAAACAGTAACTCCTCCTTAACAAGAACTCGCTTAAGAATACTCTGTTAACATGAAATAAAATTTCGGTCTTGGCAGCATTGGGTACATTACAATGATCTTATAGGAATTTTTATGGGTTAACGTGAATTTTGGTTAGCACGAATCAGGAACTATTTTTTACCCTGTTCCCTCATTAGATTTTTTCATTTAAGATGAACTTTCAGCGTTTTCCATGTTTCTTTCCTGTTTTTCTGCTAGGACTGCGTTCTGAAATGTTCCTTCCTGGGTAATTGAAAACCTCACAGAATACGATACCGTATTCTGAATACAATATTTTACATTACCTCAGAATACAATACTGTAGAATACCCTCAGAATACAATAGTGTACAATATCACTGAAATAATGTAATCTTTAAAACAGGGGCAATACGACTAAAACTCCTCGACAGTCGCGATCGCCGCATCCACATTGCAGCTTCAATCAACAAATGAAATTCGGTGTTCAGATGTTTCTTTTTTTTTTTTTTTTTTTTTTTTTTTTTTTTTATTATTATTATTCTTTTATAGTTAGTACGACTAATGTTAAATCTTGAATAATTCTTAAATAGTTAGTATAAATGAGTACAATTGTTCGTGAAGTTTCTTTCTCGTCTGCGACAACGTAATATGTTTGCCAGAATGTGATCTGTGAGTACATTTTTTTAAGTGATAGCACAGTACTTAATGTAGTACTCCAGTGTTTTATATGACTATGCACATAATATACTGTAATACGTGTGCACCTATATACTGCAAATGGTGCTAAATATCCAAAATAAAATTTTAGTTCCCAGTTAACACGAATTCTTTTAACACAAGTTCTCGACTTTTCGGTCCCTTTTATAATAACCAGGGTTTATTGTACTATATTTTTGCAAGCTTAAAGTATCGATAAATTGGGTCAAAATTCATCTACTTTTATTGGGTAAAAACGTTGCAGCTTAACAGTGAATAAACAATTTTTTAAAAATTTACCTTCTAAAATGTTTGAATTACTGGATTTTATTTGATACAAGGGAAATGAAATTTGAAAAGCCTGTAATAGAAAACAGAAAATATGTTTAGATTCTGGTTTTACCCACAATGTGAATCGTAAGAAAGCCTAACGTTTTGCTTTTAGCTTCAAAAACGTTTCTTTTCAAAAATAATTTTTAACAAATAACTACAAAAATCTCAAGTCAAATTTTCCCTGTTCCCCTTAAATATTCTAAATTGATGCATTAATTCCAATGCCAGAACATTCGAATATTTTTACGATAAATTTTATAATTCAAATAATTTAATATTTAACTAATGCATCGTTAATATCAGCAGGACAGAAGCACTCTTTAGAATCTATAATTTTTTTAATGATCGTTTGTTTATTTTTCGAACAACTTTCCTAAATACAGAATAACAGAAGCATTATTAGTTTGCCCTTTTTATGTTTAATCATACACGCATATACGGATCACTGGTCTAATTTGAAATAATTACTTTTCGATGAAACATTTTTAAGTTTTTAAATGAAACATTAATAAAATTCTTTAAAATATTTTAAGAAAAAAAAACAACAAACACCATTTATGGGAAGAATTTAAATGGCAACATTTTATTTGCCTTTTATAACCCCACCCCGGAAAAAACGAACTAATTTTTAACTACACAGAATAGTTTGATCTACACAATTCAAGAAAATAAAACTTTTGCAATTATAAATAACCTCTCGCGCTTACCATATCTCCCACTTTTTATATCAGTACGTGAGTAAAAAACTACTGCGATTGTATTTGTGGAAAACGTTCCGTGTAAGTACCTTTTTTTAAAAAAAGTTACATTTACTCATCAAAACGTTCTTTTTAATCGGCTTAGGAATACTTCTAGCGAATGAGTATAATCCTACCATCTCAAATGCACAATAAGACTACTGACAAATTTCCACGGTGAAAAGATTTTCCACATTCGAGTAGTGATCTCCAGCTAAGTCTTTGTCTACTACGTTTAAAATTGTATCTTTAAAAAAAAGGGAGCGAGGAAGAATAACAACAAAAAAAGGGGGGAGAAAAGATGAAGAGTTGTTAGTTCCAGTTTAATTTGTGAACTTTTATCACGTTAGTATAGTCTGAGGTTTTTAATACTATGTTGTTAGTCTACGAAATAATGACTAAGTGAAACGTACTATAGTAATGGAAAAAATAAAGTCGAATATCTGTCAAATTTTTTGGAATCTTTCACAATGTACTACATGTTATAGTATAAAGATATTTCTCCTACTTTCCAAGCGTGTCTTGTACTTTCAACGTTTTCTATATTACTTTCTTGTTGTTTCCTGCTGCTTTTTACGCTTCACTTCATTTCTTATTAGCCCAGAAGGGCTATTAATTTCGTTTTGGCACTTTGAATGTAGGTTCACTTTTCAAATTGTTGCCACCAAATATTAGAGTCCTGCATTATATTTAAAGAAATTAAATAATGAAGAACCTGCATAAATGTTTGTGGCATTGTGATAAAACAACAGTACCTGGAGCCATCAAATTTTGAATAGCGTAATCGTCCACCGAATATGTCATCAGGAAGCCCTAATTTGGAATTTGGAATTTGTTTTATTATCGATTTCCTATTTTGTATCACTTAACTGAATTTTTGATTAACAAACTCAACGATTTCAAAACAAGCATTGTACGGAAAAAAACATTTTTATCTCCTGCGCTCGAGACTGTATATCGGAAATTCTAAAGATATGCTCATTTTAAAATCAGTTTGCGATATTGCTGTTGAACTGAGATTTATGGTTTAAATGCAAAGAACATCATATTTAATATATAGAGATAACCCACAAAACGTTAAAAGAAAACTCTTTTGGGAGTAATGCAAAATCTGAAAGCTTTCAAAGCACCAAAACAATCAGAACCAAATACAATTCACGTGCCCAATTGGCTTCTTCTGTTTCTTCAATGAAATTCACTTTGCTTTAAAAAATTAAAAATATTTTTTATCGGAGGGAGAATGAGAAAGAATATTGTTTTCTGAAAATGCTATGTTTTTTATTTTTGTATGTCCTAACGGAAATATTTGACAGCTAACCTTTTTTATGTAGCTTACATTTCTGTTCAATGGTAAATCAGCGAAATGGCCAAACAGACTGTAATCGTATTTCTCTGTTATTTAGCATCCCAGAGATAGTATCTCTTTTCTGTAGATGAATACAAATAACTAAAATTTACGAAAGAATGTAAATTAAGTACGTTAATCTTAAAACTTTGGCAAAAATTAAATTGAAAGAGATAACTTCGGAATAATTGTATACGATCCAAGAGATGTATAGCATTAATCATTTTTCTTTGAACAGAAAAATATTCCGCAGAGGAATCTATGTTAAATAATCCTAAAGAACCATAGACTTTTTTGATAACATCAACGATAATCTAAGCTAGAAGGCCTCTACATTTTGAAATTTAAATTGACTTACTCTAACTAAATATTCCTCGGGAAACTATTAAAATTTCCGTTGATAAAGCATTTTTTCAAAATATTTATCTATAAATTTAATCATTTATAAGTTATGAATAAATTAAGCTAAAAGTTGCCTTAATTCTTAAACTATTGATGAAATAATGAAGTCGAAAATTTCAGTTACTTAATATCTAATTCATTAACTAAAATTATTTTAAATATTTAACTAATTTAAATATTACATTTAATAACACTTTGTGAACTCAAAACGCAAACACTTTAACTCAAAACGCAAACACTCAAAACGCAAACACTTTAATAACACTTTGTGAACTCAAAACTCAAAACGCAAAATAATCCACATTTAATTCTTTAAAGAAACTAACTAAATTTCTAGAATTAAGTACTAGTTTATTTGATTGCATTGATTTGATCTGCTTCGCAATTTTTTTTATTTTACACTTCTCTGTATTATACGTTTAGAAACAATAACATTTTTACTAAAAAAAATTTCGTTAAAATCTCATACAGTTCTTGCCTCTTATTAAACTCAGCAGTTTTAACTTATTAAACTCATCCTTAATGCAGCCCATTCAGATTTCATGAACGAAACGAATTATATAATAGTCAACAGATAACTGCCGTTTATTTAAAACATATCAGCCTCTTTTGTGGAAAGCTCAGCTTGTGGAAAAGCTGATTCTTCAGATCCAGAATATCATTTTATGTAACAAAGGTGTTTGTAATTCATCCACTATGGATAATTGATTATTTATCACTCATGTATGTAAATTGTTAAATATGACCTAACACGACTCATCAAAATGGCACACATTATTATTAAACTAGAGGCCAAGCCCGCTAGATCTTGTTAGAACTTAAACATTTTGCAGCCAAAGCAAAATGTTTAAGTTCTGTGCAACCCTGAGAAGAAAATGTATAAAAACATTTTCAGTATGAATGAAATCAGTTCCTTCTTTCCAGGCAACAACCGATTCGTAAATAATACTTTTATTTCAAAACCAAGAGGCGAAACATTTTGACAGTGTAATACGTATGATGTCATGATTTAAGCATAATGTAATATAACACTTTCTCAATATCAATAAGAGAATTAATGTGGCATTAATATATCGTGTCAATTGTACTAACCTCTAACAAAAACGTTATCAGCAACAGCTATTTATTTAAAATGCTGGAATTAAGGAAAGATTTTTAGACACTCAGTGACATCATATGCAACCGCGTGCTTTCTTCAACGTCAGAATATGACCTTACAT